GCGTGAATCGTGAACAATCACGAATAATTTGAATTACGAGTGAAGAATCGAGGATGCGCGCCGATTTGCTGGCACAGGTAAACTTTTAGCTTGAAATCGCAGCGGATGATATGCACAGTCAAATGCAGTCACGAGTGCTGTATCCAACCCTTGCCTACGTGCACCACCGACACATGCCATGCGGTTGCGCAAAATCACATCTTCCACATCTCGACAACAACTCCTTTCGCATCTGCTGTCTCTGGTCTTATCTGCTGTTGGCCACTTGCAAAAGAGCGCGGCGCTTGCAAGCGAAAATGGCGCACAGCGGTTCGATCGAGGTGAGCTACATACTGTACGTGGGAAAAGAGTCCACGTCGAGCCCTCGCCCTACCCTATACACACAGAGAGAGAGTTCCCAGAAAAGTTGGTCCGCCGCGGGAAGGCTTGGGCGTATGAGTTCGACCCCGCATGCGATAAAAGGTTCGGAAAAAGGGGGGGAGTATCGCCCACCCTTTTCTTCCCGCAACATGGTAGTAACAATCATGAATCTCGCCTCCGTACGGTGACAAGGGCACGCACCGCTTCCATCTCCACGTCCAGCAGTCCTGTACACATGCGGACATTCAATTGCAAATTGAAGGACTGGTCGTACCTGTACACGTACCAAACGAGCCCAAGTCGGTGTGTGTTCGCTCGACTACCTGCATAGCCAGTCCCTTGCAAGGCTGCCTCGACCTTCTGAGCACCTGATTTGTGCAAGTGCGAGAAGTCGCGGGTGTTGGATGCGCGCCAGAGATACGTGGAGAGGCATTAGCGGCTTTAGAGTGTGAGTGTTGGACCCTGCGAGCACGCGCCCGTCGAGGTAAACTAAATATACCACGCTACCCGTCCCGTCGAGAAGCGTTGCTTTTGGCCTGCAAAGTCGGAGTCCGAAGTTCAAAGGGTCCCTATCAGGTCTGTACATTGTTCACATTCATCGTCGCGACCATTTTTGGATGATCAGATGTGTCCAACACTTTTTCAAATACAGTACCTACGCCAAAGAGCACTCTCTGCGCTTGTTGTGTCCACTCGCGAAGGATCTGCGTGCTCACGCTGGGCAGGATCCGCGCTCGGGAAGCAACATCGGCTTCCCTCCCTCTTACTGTACACATAACAGCATTTTGTCCTCTGGCACTTCGACCAGCTCTTTCCCTCACATTGCTTTCGTCGAGATCGGTAGCCGCGCTCTTCCACTGGCAAACCGATGCGGAGTTCAGAACGACTTTGAGATCCGGCAGCTGGAAAGTTTTGAAAGCAAGCGCTTGCGCTGCGCTGTATTGCGCTGGACCGACGATGTTTGGAGAGATCTTTGGATCGAACTTTCGTCGAACATGTCTATGTCCGGCCCAAAATCCGTGTCAATCCTGCTGTGTTGAATCTTCATCTGGTGGAATGCGAAGCAAGCACTCTGCGGACAAGATGCCAGGGGCTTCGTCGTTGACCCTCCCATATTCTCTTGCTACATACCAACTCCATATCCGGAGGGACATCTGTCCGACTGCTACTACAACTACTCACGATGTGTCTTAGCATTAGACTTGACCGCTGCGCAATGACCTTAATCCAGAATCTCCAATGTGAATGCGCTTCTTGAAGTTCTGCCTGACCGACGAAGACTCACGACTTGTGTCAACCAGCTCAACCCTTCGCTTGACTGGCGGCCACAGATTTATCTCCACTTCTCACCCCTTCCCGAGTGCGGGAATTTATGCATGCAAACAGCATACAATGCATACTTACCGTGCCTATATTGGAGCATGTAAGCATTTTAGACTTCGTGGGAGCTTGCCATCTGCAGCGTTCAATAGGGCAGAGGAGTGTAGTACAGTGCCTTAGGGCCGCCTTCTGAGGCACGCACCACTCAGCATACCATGCCACATGGTGATTTGCCATCAAGCACAAATTGCGACGTCCTCGCCGCCTCTGAGATCTATCAGCAGACCAGATGCAGCGTCACAGTACTGCGAAAGGGGCCCTGATCTGCGTTGCAGATTCACGCTTCGGTCATTACCCTTTCCTCTCTTCGCCGCTTTGAGTGCACATGCAAGGTCCTTGGTTCAGCATACGCGCGCACCTGATCTTGGGCTACACAGTATCAGGCGAGCCGCATTGCGCGGGCTGGTAGGCTCAGAAGTCAAGAGGACACACAGTACGGCGCGGAGCACCAGGCTTTTGATGACTTACCGTGTTGCGTACAGTCGCGAGTAGACCGGACAGGTCGACCGTGGGCTCACTCACGTCAGAGCAGCCAAGTCGCATTGTCGACCGTTGAGCTTGCAGGCCGAACGTTCGGGAGCAGCGCAGCTGCTGTTCCTGTGGTCTCGACCCAGATTCCTACGGGCTACGACGGGCACATGGGCAGTGTCCGGCCGCCCTGTGCACCATCGGGAGCAGCACTCGATCATGCATAAGCCCGACCAGCAGCTCGTGCGAACGCGCTAAATTCAGAGCTCCTTACAGGCGTGCAGGCGTGC